ACTAACCCAGGAGGTGGACATTGCAGTGAGCCGAGATAGCGCCATTGCACTCCAGCCTGGACAACAAGAGCAAAACTCTGTCTCAAAAATAAAAATTGATTATAAAATCAATTTCATCATCCTTGATTAGTCACACTGGGCTTGGCCCCATCAGCAGAGGCAGAAGTACAGAGGATTGTACTGGAATGTAGCCAACTCCTAGGCTATAGCAAAGTCCAAACATGTAAAGCCAAAACAAAACCATGATGGTACCATCCTGTGACAAGGAGCAAAACAAGAAGGAAAGATTGCAAAGCTAACAACAGTGAATCAATCCTTGTAAGGAACATGCTAGGCATTGGGGATGTCTCAATGATGCATGAAAATACTCAAGCCCCAATAAATGGCTCATCTGAGAAAATGAGAACGAATTATGTTGAGCATGAGAAAAGACATGTTCTTTTCCTGGAACACAGTTGGCACTCAACCAAGGGCATTACCGTAATTATGATAAGATCTGAGTACTGAAATTTGAAACCGTGTTACTGTAACTAAACATCTATCAGAATTCCCTGCCTGCCTTCTAAGACCAAATCATAGGTGGGTATATCCATCCCTGGCTCAATCTAGACAGGAATCCATCACTATATTGCTTGGAGAACCCCTTTCCAGATGCCCTGGGAAGACCTCTTCCAGCTCGGTCAAATAACAAAGTATTGAGGCACTCTGTATTTCTGAAGCATATGTTTCTATTGTTGTTTAGTTCATGTCTTTTATTAACTCATACACAGTTAGTTGTTTTCTGGTTTGTTGAAGCAGTAAGTCAGACAACATTTGCCACAATAATGTCTGTTAAAGGGGCTTGCCATAAACACTCCAGCCCCACAGTCATCAGAACAGCACTAATTTTGCCATTCTCATCCTCCTTATAATATTTCAGGACAGTCAGCTTCACCTTCTTTCTCTTCTGCTTATTCTCCTTGGGAGTAATGTAAGACTTCTTCTTTTTCTTAGCACCACCACAAAGTCTCAACATAAGATGAAGAGTGGACTCCTTTCAAATGTTGCAGTCAGACGAAGTACGTCCATCTTCCAGCTGCTCTACAGCAAAGATCAGTCTTTGCTGATCAGGAGGAATTCTTTCCTTATCCTGGATCTTGGCCTTTACATTTTCTGTCGTATCCAAGGGTTCAGCCTTCAGGGTGATGGTCTTCCTTTTTAGGGTTTTCACAAACATCTGCATTTTGGTGGCAGCTCCACCACAGATGGCAGATCAAAAAGGAAGCTGAAGCATATGTTTAGGTTGATAAGTTGCAACATAAATATATACATACACACACACATATACATATATAATATATATGTTTAACTCAGAATACATATATATGTATGTGTGTATATATGTCTGTGAAGGTGGCTACACACTTCATATATATACACACTAGAATATATTCTATAAAATATACTAGAATATATATTTACATGTTTTTTATACATATATGTAAATCGTAAAGTTTGCGATAGTAACTGCCTACTTTCTTATTTTTTATCTCAGTATATATATTTCTCAAAGAACTAAGAATAGAACTATCATTCAATCCAGTAATGCCACTACTGGGTATCTACCCAAAGGGAAGGAAATCATCATATCAGAAAGACAGCTGCACTTTATTTATTTTTTGAGATGGAATCTCGCTTTGTTGCACAGGCTAGAGGACAATGGTGTGATCTCAGCTTACTGCAATGTCTGCTTCCTGGGTTCAAGCAATTCTCCTGCCTCAGCCTCCCAAGTAGCTGGGATTACAGGCGTGTGTCACCATGCCCGGCTAATTTTGTATTTTTAGTAGATATGGGGTTTCACCATGTTGGTCAGGCTGGTCTTGAACTCCTGACCTCAGGTGATTCACCTGCCTTGGCCTCCCAATGTTCTGGTATTACAGGCATGAGCCACTATGCCTCACCACCTGTATGTCAATCACAGTGCTATTCGCAATAGCAAAGATATAGAACTAACCTGAGTGTCCACCAATGGATGACTAAATAAAGAAAATGGTTTTTTTGTTTGTTTGTTTTGTTTTCTTCTTGAGACAGAGTCTTGCTCTTGTTGCTCAGGCTGGAGTGCAGTGGCATGATCTCGGCTCACCGCAGCTTCCGCCTCCTGGTTCAAGCAATTCTCCTGCCTCAGCCTCCCTAGTAGCTGGGATTACAGGCACCCGCCACCATGCCCAGCTAATTTTTGTATTTTTAGTAGAGACGGGGTTTCACCATGTCAGCCAGGCTGGTCTTGAACTCCTAACCTCAGGTGAACCACCCGCCTTGGCCTCCCAAAGTGCTGGGATCACAGGCGTGAAACACCGCACCTGGACAAGAATATGTTTTATACACACACACACACACACACACACACACACCATGGAATACTATGCAGCTGTAAAAGAGAATGAAATATCTCTTTTGCAGCAACATGGATGGAAGTGGAGGCCATTATCTTAAGCAAAATTACTGAGAAACAAAAAATCTACACTTGTACCTCCTCGATATATAAAAATGAAAAAGTAAAAAATAAAAATAGAAAAAAGTTTTATCTTGACATATATAGAAATATATATATTTTATACATCATTTATGCAAAATATATACACATACATATACACAAATATATAACATATATTTAACTCAGTATATGTTGTATGTAATTGATATTATATATACATTATATATACACACATACATACACAAACACACACATACAGTATACATGCTTAAAGAGTGATCAGCTCCCTTCACAGGTGGTCTCACTGTTGCCCAGGCTGGAGGGCAGTGGCACAGTCATAGCTCACTGCAGCCTTGACCTCCTGGGCTCAAGGCATCCTCACGCCTGCGTCTCTGAATGTGCTGGGATTATAGGTGAGCACCACCACAACTGACTAGTGAAAAAAAGTTTTTTGGTAGAGATTGGAGGGGGGTTTCCAATGTTGCCCAGACTGATCTCAAACCCCTGCGCCTCTGAACGTGCTGAGATCACAGGTGTGAGCCACTGCGCTCGGCCAGATGGTACAATTTTGATTCCTTTCATATTTAACAACACCTGCACCTATCATGGTATTGAATTTATAGTTCACTGGGTTGGGGACTCATTCCTCCAGAATGGCAGAGTTCAGCATTTCCTGACTCCACCGAAAAATTACGCTGCCTCATTAAGGCAGTAATGACCCTTCCATGCCTAACTCACAGGGATTTTCCTTTTTTGTCTCTCAAGTAATAGGCTGTGGTTTCTCAAGGATTTTTATGACCCTTCCAGATGAAAGCTGCTTTGTGAAGCAAGATGTGCAACATGCAGGCCATATTTGTAAGAAGAGGTAGCTATGTGGTCAAGGTCAGGGTGGGATCGGTGGAATCAGACCAACCAGCAGCCCCAACAGAGTTTAACGCTGCAATTCTGTGCCACACTTTTTCCTGGGTGCAATTTGCAGGCAAAGACACGTGCTTAATTGGGTGTGAAACCCGGGCCTTGATTAAAAGGACTTTATGAGCCTGCAACCTTGGGTTTCCAAGATGAGGCCCTCGCAGAGAGGGCGCGCGTTCCGCGGGGAAACACGAACTTGTCCTGAGTGCAAGTTCCTGGCTGGCCCTGAACCCCTCGGCCAGGCAGGGCTTGGCAGGGCTGTGCCCTGTCCTAACCAGGCTCTGGGGATGGCGGGAGCCTGCTAGTGTCGCACGTGTTTTGCATTCCAGCTCAGGATTTTGCAGAGCATGGAGAGCGGGTGTCACCCCGGCGGAGAAATGCCACCCACAAAATGCAGGTGCGGGCTGAGGCGAGGCTGGCAGCCAGGGGCCAGAAATCCAAACCGAGCCGCGTTCAGACTTCCTGAAGCCCCCTCCCTGATAGCTGCGCAAAATGGCTCGGCCTGGTCCCCTTAAAAATGTGTCCATTCTGACTTAGAGGCCTCTTTGCCTCTCGGAAAGCCCCCTGACCAGAGGACTGAGGGACTGGAGATGCCCTCCAGTCGTAGAATCGCTGAGATTCCTCAAAATAAGGGGGTTTGCAGTTTGACCCCTTGCTGCTCAAAGTGTGTTCCGCGAACCTGCAGCCCGGGCCGCCCTGGTGGCAGGTCAGGAGCGCAGCGTCCAGGCCATGCCGGGCCCGCACGCTGAAGCACTGTCTGTATTTTCCTAAGGAAAGGGGTGCCCAAATGTCCAGTTATATTTTCATTTCAAATCCCCATACATAGGGTTTTAAAATATAAGTATGTCCAAGTATTGCCTGAGCCACACTTAAGCCAGAAAAAAAAAAAATCTATGTGTCTCTAAAATTGAAATGCGTCTGCACAATTCTTTAACGAGTTGTCGCCTGGGTGTTTAAACCAGTGGCCAATCAAGTTTCACGTGCTACATTTGGTCGGGCGATCTCTCAGATTTGCCTTTCCCTAGTTCTTTAAAATGTTTATTTGGAAAGAATTCTAGATCCACAGGAAGCTGCAAAGAAACGCACCAGGTCAGACCCACCCTTCCCCGGCCCTTCCAAGTAGAAATCTGGAATCACCAGAGTCCTACAGCAAAACCCGGACACTGACCTCGTCCCCCAGATCCCGCAGCCCCTCTTGGAGATCCGCGCGCAGCGCGCCTCCTAAGGAGCCAGGCGAATCAGAGCCCCTCTTCTCACGAAACGCCAATTTCAGTTTTTATTTCTGAACTTCACTTTTGCTCAGCCACGCACTCCCTGTTCCCGGGCCCTCCGGGTCCCCCGGCCCTCTCGCCTCCCCATCTTACGGGCTTGGGCGCAGCGAGCCGGGTGGCCCGCCTGCGCGTCTCCAGGGAGAGGTCGGCCTGGGTGCCACCCCAGGGGCGCCCCGGGAGCGAAGAGGCCAGCGCAGCGCCTACCCTCCGTGGCCAGAGCCACCCGCAAGTCCGGGTCTCGGGCTCCTGGGCGGGGTCGCGGCGGAGGCGGAGCGCGCGCGAAGGCGACGCCCCCAGCCCCGCGGCCGGGTGGGGGCGGGGAGAGGCGCGGTCACGCCCAGGCGGCTTCCGCCCGCCCCATCAGCGCCCACGCAGCAGCTGAGCAGAAGGAGGCTGCGGACGCGACTTCGGGAATGCGCAGGGCCCCCGCCTCGCCCCCCCAGCACGAGCCGCGGCCCCCGCCTTCCCCGTCGCCGCCTGGCGCTCCGTGCCCGCCCCCCGAGGCCGGCGGCTGCTCCCACCCGGGGCTGCTGATGTTTGTGCGGTGAGCACCGCCCAGCCATTGTCCCTGCCACTCCGACAGCCGAGCCGGGACGCGCACCGGGAGGCGAGGGCGCGCATGGGGAGCCTCCGTTGATGCCGCCGCCGCCGCCGCGCCGCCCTCCGAGGCTGCCTCCCGGGAATCCCAGCTCCCTGAGCGCTCCGGCCCGGCCCGGCGTCCCGGACCTGAGTGCGTCCACATGGAGGCGCCCGGGCTGGCCCAGGCGGCCGCGGAGGAGAGCGACCCCCGAGAGGTGGCGGGGGGGACCCCCGACGGGGCGCCCGCACTCTGTCGTCCCAGCCCCGAGGCGCGGTCGCCAGAGTCGCCCGCCTACCGGCTGCAGGACTTCGACACGCTGGCCACCGTGGGTGAGTGTGCGCGGGGAGTCGGCCCGCAGGGGCGCGGGGCGCGACCGGGACGCTGTCGTAGGACAAAGGGCCCTGGGTGCCGGCCTCATGGGGAGGTCCCTGCCCCGTCGCTCCGGCTCGGGGTCCCCGTTCGGGGCTGCCCCTGCGCCCTGGGTCTCACCGGGGGGTGCTTGGAGAAGTGGAGCACACCCCCCAGCCCAGGCAGATTCCCCGACCGGCCGGTGCCTTCCCTGGAACTCCGACGGCTCCTCTCGGAGGCCACCCTCCACCCCCAGCACACACAGCACCCCGGGGCCTGGGCCGCCCGACGTCACAAAACTTCCTGCGGGTCACCTCGCCTGGGGGACCTCGTTCGCCCTCCCAGGCAGCCGCCCCAGGGACATGGGCGTGAGATCTGAAGGCCCCAGCGGGCCTCCCCCAGGCCAGCCTCCCCTTGTGCCCAGCGGCAGGGTCCTCGGTGGGGAATGTAGACATTTCTCCACGGGCTTCGGGAGCAGCTGGGCTCCGGGGGACAAGTGTCCTGTGGCTCTGTGGGGACTTGGACGGTGGCGTTGGGGACAGATCCTAACATTTCCTGACACTACGTGTGCTTTTGGTCTCGTGTGTCTGAAGTGGGTAATTCTTATATTGGAGACTTTCTCCGTTTCCTTTGTCCTCTGCCTTTGAACTTAACCCCGAATGGGCAGCTTGACATAGAGGTTTCGAGTTCTCTGTGCGCTTGGATCCGGACACGCGCTATTTATGGGGCAGCCCTGAGTGTGTCAGAATGTCCCAACCGAACGTGGGCGCTGGATTTAAACAGTTAGCACCGGTCCGCCTGTGCCTTCTTGGGGAGTGTGTTGCTGGGGCAGGAGGTCTCAGGCCCTCTGCCTCCTGTTTGTCCTCTCATTTGGAAAGGAGGAAGCTGGGCTGGGAAGCCTAAGGAGGACTCGAGGTCATAGTTTCTGGCTTAGGAAGACCAGCGGGCATAGCTCAGGTGCCTTCAGAACCGCTGAGGAAGAGGAGACTTCGCTTCCTTCAGTGACCTCTTTGCCACCTAGGCCTTGAGGAAGGAAGGGCCCACGAGGAAAGCCCGAGTTTGGAAGGACAGAGTGGGAGGAGGCCCTCTCCCTTTCACCTCTCCCTCCCTCCCCGTCTCTTTCTATCTCTCTCTTTCTCTGTTTCTGTCTCTCTCCCCCTCTTTCTGTCTCTCTGTTCCTGTCTCTCTGCATTTCTCCTCTGTCTCTGTCTCTCTCCGGTCCCCTTCCTGTCCTGGTTTCTCTGTCTCTGTTTCTGTCTCCCTCCCTTCTCTCTCTCTGCCTTGCCCCTTCTCTTGGTCCCCTGAAAGCTGTCCTGGGCTAATCTGAGAGCAGGGTGTGCTTTTCGGGGAAAGAAGGGCGGGGCAGGAACCTGACTAGTGCAGCTGCCACAGTAGGTGGAAATACAACTCAACAGTGGAAAATTGATGAGGTCCAGCTGTTCCTTGGCACTCAGCACCATCGTTCATCATTCTTTGGGGGTGCCCACATGGGTCCCTTGGGAAGGGTGGAGCGCCCCAGCTCCCCAGGCTGGAGGCTGGGTTAGAGAGCAGGATGTGGGCAGGAGGGCGGCAGAGGTGAGGGGTTCTGGTGCCACAGGGGACCACTCAGTTTGACGTCAAGTCAGCTTAGGGTGCCTAGCGGGTAACCTCATCCTTAAAAAGAGAGTGTCACTGCCTCTGGGGACTAAGCTGGCTAAGTGAGGAAGTCAGCATTGTTTTTTTTTTTCTCAGTCCAGTCAGTACTCTCTTAATGAGGATGATGCTCCTTTCTCAAGGATAACTTCCTGTGGGCTCCAAGGGTGTGACAGAAGAACTAGGTATTCCACACTCGTTGGACAACAGGGGACCAGGACCCGGTGTGTGTGTGTGTGCGCACACATATCTGGAACACTCTCATGACAACTTCACAGCTTTGGTGGCATTATCTACAGCCTTTTATCCGAGCCCCTTTCTTTATTGTTGGTTAAAGAATAATCTGAGAGTGATTCACCTAAAAAAATTAGAATAAATTAAAAAAAATCTTAAACCCTTTAGAGCCTTTGCAATTGTGTCTCTGAGCCACAATCTCCAGCAGCTTTGGAGCGTTTTATAAGGCGTGATGGGGAAGAGTGAGGGGCGAGCTGGAGTCTCAGTCTGGACTTGGAACCAGTCTGGGTGGACGTGACTTCTCTTCATCCTGAGTTGTCACTGCAGGAACATAAGTCTGCTTTTAAGTGCTCTTTCTCCTCATTCCTAATTCTCTCAGGCCCCGAACAAGTACCCCACAGGAGTACTGAACTTTTTGAGGAGTGGGCCGAGGGGATCTCTATTCGGACTGCCAGTTGAGCAATCCTATTTTCTGAGCCAGTCACAAGCTGGGCATGGTGGCTCATGCCTGTAGTCCTAGCACTTTGGGAGGCCAAGGCAAGTGCATCACTTTCGCTCAGGAGTTCGAGACCAGCCTGATAAACATGGCCAAATCCTGTCTCCACTGAAAAAATACAAAAATTAGCCAAATGTGGTGGTGGGCACCTGTAATCCCAGCCACTTGGGAGGCTGAAGCAGAGCCAGGAGGTGGAGGTTGCAGTGAGCAGAGATCGTACCACTGCACTCCAGCCTTGGGTGTTGGAGGGAAAACAAAAAGATTGACCAGTTTTCCTCAAGTTCAGGTAGCTAGGAAGAATGTGAAGTTTACAGTTGTGAAAAATCTGATAATGGGATTTTTTTTTTCTTTTCTGTGCATGAAGGGATTCTGGAGTATGTCTGGTCTAAAGGCTGATTTAATAGTTTTAGGAACTTTGCATCAGAACAGCCATACTACTCCTTAGGGGAAAAAATGGTTTCTAATCTGGTTATTCAAATTTCTTGTTCACATAACCGAGCCATGCTTGTTCCTATGGGAGAGAACAATTGTGCTTTAAAAAAAGAAAATTGAGGGCCAGGTACAGGGGCACGTGCCTGTAGTCCTAGCTATTCGGGAGGTCGTGGTGGGAGGATGGCTTGAGGCCAGGAGTTCCAGACCATCTGGGGCAACATAGCGAGACCTGCATCTCTTACAAAAAGCTAGTAATAATAGCTGGTCATGGTGGCGTGTACCTCCTGTAATCTTCGTTACCTGGGAATCTGAGGCAAGAGGCTCACTATAATCGCACCACTGCCCTCCAGCCTGGGCGATAGACTGAAATCCTCTCTCTAAAAAATAAAATGAAAAAAATTATATTTTGGAAATGAGAAACTTACACTACTTAGAGAGAAGAGGACGACTCTCTGTGCAACCGTCAGCCAGCCTTATCTGATCAGCTTTCCTACTTATGATGACCACCTGAGAATTACTTTCTCTATGTATCAGATAAAAAATACTTAGGTTTTATTCCAAAAATGTCCTTATCAAATCATTTGGCATCTACGAGCCAGTGCTCGCTTCTCCTGGTGTTAGCCCCGGTGTTAGCCTGCCAGGAGGGAGGTAATTCAGGTGACAGTGGCCAGTCCTTGGATCCACATTTCATTTTCCTTTTCTCAACCTACTTCTGCACTGACTCATCTAAAAAAAAGGGAAATACTAACAACCTGTCCTAGTCGGTTTCTTTGAGTAAGATCCCAAAGTTCCCAGATCTCTATTAACAGTGTATGTATTTTGAAATACAGACTCACAGCAGATTCCAGAACAGGACCTGGAGTCTCATGCACCTCAGCCAGCTTCCCCACGGTGACTTCTTCATAGCTGTGGGACAATGTCAGAACCTTGTTATTGGCATTGGTCTGTCCCTATTAAAGAGAACACACACCTCGTTCAGCTTTTTTTTTGTTTGTTTTTGAGACAGGGTCTCACTCTGTCGCCCAGTCGGGAGTGCAGTGGCGCAATCTTGGCCCGCTCCAGCCTTGAACTACTGGTCTCGAGCGATTCTCCCACCTCAGCCTCCCAAGTAGCTGGAACTACAGGCAGGCATCACCATACCTGGCTAATGTGCTGAGTGGCAGAGTCTTGTTATGTTGACCAGGTCTCATACTCCTGGTGCCTCAAGCGAGCCTCCTGCCTCAGCCTCCCACAGTGCTGGGATTGTATACAGGCATGAGCCATCGCACTGGCTTCTGTTTGTGAGCGTGTGTACGTGTAGAGTTCTGTGCAGTTTCACCCAGTGTGTGGATTTGGGCAGCTACCACCCTGTAAACCATGGGGCAGAATGAATTCCCCCACCGCAGACCACTCCATCTTGCTTGATACTTTTTTTTTCGCTCTTGTTGCCCAGGCTGAAGTACAATGGTGTGATCTCAGCTCACTGCAACCTCTGCCTCCTGGGTTTAAGCGTTTCTCCTACCTCAGCCTCCTGAGTAACTGGGATTACAGGCACGTTCCACCATGCCCGGCTAATTTTGTATTTTTAATGGAGAGGGAGTTTCTCCATGTCGGTCAGGCTGGTCTCAAACTCCCGACCTCAGGCGATTCGCCCGTCTTGGCCTTCTAAAGTGCTGGGATTACAGGTGTGAGCCACCGCGCCCATCTAGATGCTTTTTTTTTTTTTTAAAAAAAAACTTTCACACCTATACAATCTGAAAATATTTTATTTTCTTAAGAGCCAGGAGATCTTAATAATTAATGATCATGGTTCTCAGATCTAAAGTGCTTATACTGGTAGGTTTCTGCTGTCCTTGGTTCTCGTGATTTGGCCAGAATTTCCTTTCCTCTCCTTGTTGCTGGGCTCTTATTAATGCCCCAAGTCAGTCCATTCAGGTTGTTGTAGCAAAACCCCATCAACTGGGTGGCTTACAAACCACAGACATTTATTGCTCACAGTTCTCGGAGGCTGGAGGTCCAAGATGAAGGCGTGGCAGAGTTGGTTGTCTGGTGGGGACCTGCTGCCTGATTCACAGATGGTGCTTCTCACTGTGTCCTCACATGGTGGAGGGGCGGGGAGCTCTCTGGGGTCCCTTTATGAGGGCACTGATCCCATCCATGAGGCTCCACACTCATGACCTCATCACCTCCCTAGGGCCTCAGCTCCTG